CCCCGCCGGGGAGGTGGGCGGGGCCTCGACGGGGCGCTCGCCATCTTGGAGACGGGCTGGGGAAGGGCAAACCAGGAGGCGGCGCGAGCTGAGCCGGGCCTAGCGGGCTGAGGGCGGCGTGGGGCCGGCTGTCGCTCTCCTCGTGCTGGCCGCGCGGGGACACTGGCCCTCAGCCCACTTGCGGAGCCCTGCACAGGGCCGGGAAGTGCAGCGCCTGGCGGCCGCGGGTGGTGGGTGAAGCGGCGTTTTGCGTCTGCCCTTCCACCTCGTTTTTCTGTGTGTGCGCACGCGCCCGTTCGGGTGTGTGCTTGGCGCTTGGTCTGTATTTGTGGGGTTTGGGTGTGTGTGTGTGGATTGTGTCGGGGTGTGCATTTGGTGCGTGTACGCCGCACGGGGACGCGGGGGGGCACTCTGGGGCTTTGAACTCAGCACGACTGAGCTCTAGAGGCTTACCCTGAGCCACCCCTCCACTTCTGTTCCTTCCTTCTCTTCCTCCTTTCTCTTTCGTTCCTTCGTTCGTTTTTGCATCTTAGTTGCTTTAAGCCCAAGAAAATCCCAATACTAAAGTGGCTGATTTGAGGGACAATATTCAGTGTACTTCAATATAAAAGAGGTAGATAGGATATATATATATATATACACATATATATACACACACATATGTGTGTATACCTATACATGTATATATATGTGTGTGTATATATATATATATATACATATATATTTGCCAGTTAAAGTAGCCCATCAAGTGCCGCGTGGTGGGGTACACCTGGAAGCACCGGTCGGAGGAGGCCAGCCAGGCTAATTATTCCCGGCCAATATGGTGAGACTGTCTCAAAAAATAACCCCTCCCCTTCCACACCAAACCACACAGACAGCTGTCCCCTCGTTGCTTTCATGAAGCGACCCCGCAATCGAAGACGTCCAAGGTCAGTTGTGCTCGGAGGCGGAGCCGATCCGGAGCAGATTGGAGGCTCGAACCTCTCTCCCTCCCAGTTTCGGGCCCCACCTTCGCTCCACGGTTTCAAGCCGCACCTGCGCAGCCGCTGAGGGCGTCACGTGCTAGGCTTCGAGGCGAAGCCAGCGCCGCCATCTTGGTTTCTGGCAGCCCCAGCTACAGGCTACTTCGGGAGTATTTCTCCACTGGAGCTGCCTTGCCTTCCGGTCCCTATGCGCAAATGCGGAAGTGCGCTGGCCAGAGGTGACTGGTTTCCGGCCCGTGGTGCAGCACCGGCTTCCCGGAGACGTGTAACGGACGAGGGGCCGCGGCCATGGCCGAGAGGAAGAGTAACGGCGGCGGCGCCTCCACCTCCTCGGCGGGCACTAACTTACTCTTCTCCTCCTCGGCCACGGAGTTCAGTTTCCACGTGCCCTTCATCCCCGTCACGCAGGCGGCGGCCGCCTCGGCCTCCCTGCTGCTGCCCGGAGGTAGTGAGGGGGAGGCGGTCTGGGGGGCGGCGTTGGGGCGCGCGGGGCCGCGGTCGGGGCCGGCGGTGGTTTGGGGGGCCGGGGCCTGAGATCTCGGAGGCGGGGCCGGTGATGGAGCTTGTGCTCCGCGTGGGGACCCCTGCACCCCCCCTCCCGTTCCAAGTTTTCCCGAGTGCTCGAGCACGGGCCCTGGGACCCTGCCGGGTGCGGACCGGAAGTGTGCGGGCCAGACAGCATCGCCCTGGGACGTGAGCCAGGCTATCTCCTGGGAGGCGGCAGCAGGCCTCTTCCAGGATGGACAGCGTCCCGCTTTTTCGGACACCGCAGACCAACTCCTGGAAGAACGTGGGTGTGAGAGGTTGCGGAGTGTCGGTACAGAACGCCGTCCTCATTTTCCAAGACGTCCACGAAGCGTTTTGTTCTCTCAGGCCGCACTCCTGTGCGCCCCGCCAGCTGATCGCATGGTCCAGGGCCCTTGCTGTGTGATGCTGGGGCGGCACAACGCAGACCGTAGTGTCTTGGGAGCCCAGAACCCTGCTGCATGACCTCAGGCATGTTACAGCCCCCGTTTGTGCTGCAGTTTCCATGAGTGTTCAGATTCTTAGGGTTGTTGTGAGAAGTGAGTTGATGTTGGTAAAACACCAAATATGTAATGCTTGGCAGGTAGTGTTAGGAAAATGTTGTCAATGGAGCATGTCTGCCTCCCTACTTGGGCCCTTTTATTTCCAGGATCGTATCCAGTGTTAAGCACCTATGTCCTTATTACATGCTGAGGTTTCCTCCCCTTCCCCTCAGTGAATGATTTGTTTCTGCTTGTAAGACCAAGGAAAGTTTCCTGGAGAAGTGGAGAAAGACATGCAGGAAACAGCTTTATGGAGAACTGTCCTTTGCTTATATTTCTTGGTGCTTGTTACTGTCTACCTGACATGTACCCATGCTTGTTTATCCTACCCCCCCGCCCAGCGCCGCCCGCCCCCCCCCAGAATGTAAGCTCTGTATGCAAGCAAGGTGTATGTCCTGTGCCTGGAAAAGCCTTATTGGGTAGATATTTGCTAAATGAGTGGGAGGCAAGGCATCGGATTTCACGTGTGTCATTTAGGCTGTGATTGGAATGTTAGGTGGTGTTGTCTTTGGTGAAAAATTGGTATGGCTGGAAGAAGTGCTGGGAGAGTGCTGAGGAGTAGATCAGGATTTGCTGGAGGGTTTTAGGTCACCTGCCTCAAAAGTATTGTTTGGCTTATGTTCATCTCCTCACTATATTGTATTTGGCCAGTGTGTATAAAAACTAGACGTTTTCAATTTTTGAGCACACCTGTTTTAACCACACTTATGTTTTCTTTCTCTCCTCTCTCCCTCCCTCCTCCCTCCCTGTCTCTGTCCTCATCTCTCTCTCTCTCTTTTTGTTGGTTTTGAGGTGTGAACAGAGGGCTTGGGTGCTGTCTCTGAGCTCTTTTGCTCAAGGCTAGTGCTCTACCACTTTGAGCTACAGCTCCACTTCCAGTTTTTTGGTGGTTAACTGATGAGAGTCCCACAGACTTTCCTGCTGGCTTTGAACCACAATCCTCAGATCTCAGTCTCCTGAGTAGCTAGGATTATAGGACTGAGCCACCGGTGTCCAGCTTACTCCTGTCTTTAAACTCTTGTTTCTTGGTGACTTTGAGTTCAGCCCATAGTACACAAGCTCATTCAGCTTGATTGCTTGGCTGTGTGTACCCCTTGAGCTGTACCTCCAAGCCCAGCTTTTCACTGGTTAATTGGATATAGAATCTTAAGGACTTTTCTGCCCCACCCTTCCAAACTGTGGTCATCTAGATCTTAGCCTTCTATTAGATAGGATTTACAGGCATGAGCCACTGGTACCTGGCCAGAACTTACATATTTTTGTAGGACCATTAACCATTTTTAGGACTTTATTTATTTTTTGTCGGTCGTGGGGCTTGAACTCTGGGCCTGGGCGCTGTCCCTCAGCTCTTCAGCTCAAGGTGAGCGCTCTACCACTTGAGCTACAGCGCCACTTCCTTTTAGGACTTTATGTACAAATATTTTTCCCCTCTAAAAAAGGATTTCATAGTTAGAGACCCCTTTAGATCATACCCAGAGACAAAGAAGAAACTATCCCTGGGGGCAAAAGAGATAACTAGGAAGCAATTTCATAGATTGAACAGACAGGAACTGAGGATCTTCTATTTGTCAGACCCTGTTCCAGGTGTCAGGGAATCACAGATAGCAGACAGTTCTGTCTGTAATGGCTGCACAGTATGTATATCTACACAGATACTCCCCTGGTAAGCATGTATGATGCACTTCAGAATAGCCAGAAAGAAGGATGGATAGGCTGCTGCAAATGCTGTGGGTCTCAACTGGTGGAATAGGCAAGATATGTCCCTTAGGCCATAGGTCCTCATAGGACATGGTGTCTGAGTTGAGCCTAGAGGATACATAGAAATGAAGGAGTATGGAGGTGTGAGGAAACCTGAAGAAGATCTGGCAGAATATTGACAGGTGACATGGAACAGGGTGGACCTCTCCTTCTGTCCTTTCTTCTGTCCTTCCCAGTGCCCTCTGTCTTCTTCAAATGGGTCACTGACTAGAGTATTGCAGGGGTGTGGCTCTAGGGGGTCATGACTTCATATACTAGGGAGTTAATAGTTCCTCTTATGGGGGAGCCTTTGAATGATTTGCAACAGGACAGTGAAATTAGAGTTGTATTTCAGAAAGGCTAGTGCTGTCTGAGATTGTATTGGAAGAAAGCTGCTATAGCAAGAGGGGTTGGTCCAGGGTCATTGTACTTCAGTCAGGAGTGAATGGTACTGTAGCCCAAGTGGGCCACGTTGATATGAAGGGCTCCGAAGAGAAAGCTGTCTGTTAGCACAGAGGTCCATTCTTGTTCAGTGTTAGCTCAAGACTGGGCTCTGAACCTGGCATGTAGTGGGTACTATTTAAGTATTTCCTGGATGGCTGAATGAAAGGTCTGAGAGAGAGGAAGTGGTTGAGAGCCTTGAAGATTCTTGTTGCAATGTAGGTGGACACTGGTGACCTGTTGGGATAGTGACGTCTGGTAAAAGGATACATGGTGGTAAAAGTAATCCATCCACTTAAGGCTTACTAAGTTTGAAGTATATGTGAATCTGCTAGGAATGTTGGGGAAGTAGTTGGAATACATGAGGGCAGTGTGAGTTTGAAACAGTTGTGAGTGTTGCAGGTATATTAGTTCCCTCAGAAAGTGCCTCTGAAGTGAGTCTAGCAGGTTTGTTTGTTTTTTAGAATTTTTTTTGTGAAAATACCATACAAAGGGGTTACAATTACATGAGCAAGGTAATGAGCACATTGCTTATCAAGCATTGTTGCCTCCTCCTTTGTTTCCTCTACTAACAGGGTTTTGAGATAATTATTTCATGTATACTTGATGCTAATGAGAAGTCTATTTCTTGGACTGAGTAGATCTCAAGTAATCTTAACTGGTGAAGGATACCAACAGGTTTTCCCAATGCTTTTCCTTGTTGGAAAATGAACTGAGTAATATAGAGGAGTGCAAGTGAAGTTCACAGGACTACAGAGAAGAATGGGAACTGGAAATCCACAAGACTAGTGGAGTGACTCAAGTGGTAGAGAGCCTGCTGGGCAAGCATGAGGCCCTGAGTTCAAATCCCAGTATCACATATGCACACAAGGAAATATATCTGAAAAGTAGAAAAATGATAGCAGATACAGGGCCTTGTGTTTTTTGTTTTGTGTGTTTTTTGCTGGTCGTGGAGCCTGAACTTTGGGTCTGGGCGCTGTCCCTCAGCTCTTCAGCTCAATGCTAGCTAGCGCCTACCACTTGAGCCACAGCACCACTTCCGGCTTTTTCTGCTTATGTGGTGCTGAGGAATCGAACCCAGGGCCTCATTCATGCAAGGCAAGCACTCTATCACTGAGCTACCTTCCCAGCTGCAGGGCCATGTATTTGAAAGTGATATTTTTAGTTTTAAAAGTCTCAAAGCCAGTTACCAGTGGCTTATGCCTGTTATTCTAGCTATCCAGAAGACTGAGATCTAAGAATCATGGTTCAATTGAAGCCAGCTCAGGAAAGTCTGTGAGACTCTTATCTCCAATTAACCACCAGAAAACTGGAAGTGGTGCTATGATTTAAAATAGAAGAGTGCTATCCTTGAATAAAAAGGGCTCAGGGACAGCATCAGGTTCTGACTTCAGCCCCACGACTGAAAGAAAAAGAAAGAAAGAAATTTGAGGGTTTTTTGTTTGATTTTTTTTTTTGTTGTTGTTGTTCATTGTCTTTTTCCTTCTTTTTCTTTTCTTTCTTTCTTTTTTTTCTCTTGAGAATAGCCCAGGTTGGTCTCAAACTTGTCAGCTTAAGTTTTTTGCCTCCTTCATTCTCCCAAATAACTGGGACTACAGACACATCTTTTGAATAGAAGGATAACCCGAATGCTGTAATCCCGGTTATGGCATTGAATTGTGTCTCTTGGACTCATGGCCAAATGGCGAGTATTTTGTTAAGTTGGTGTATGTGAAATAAAGTGGGGAAGCTGTCTGAGCCCAATGGCCTTTTTCAGCAGAGGTCAAGGAACAGCCCAGGGCTTTGGCAGGCTCTAAGGGCAGAGGCCCTGGTGTTTCTAGGAATGTGTCCTCTGGACTGATGGACTCCATGCCCTAGCAGTAGATAAAGAGGGATTGAGGCAGGAGTAGGGAAGATTAGCAGAAAGCTGCAAGCTAAGGGCTCATAAAAATGTACTAGAGTGGACTTTTGAGGTCATAGAGAAGGAAAATAAAGAGAAAGTGTGTTGATAGTACCCACAGTGAAGATCAAAAGGAAGCAAGAACATCCCATACTTAGAGAAGTGACTTTTCTGGTTATTTGGTGTTCTATAAAAACTTAATTATCTGGTTGGGACACTGCGTGATTTAGGGTAACAGATAATTGATGCCCTACTTTGCCTTGGGAACACAAGTACCACGTGTTCACTTCTTCTGTCCTTGTTTATAAGAAAGAGCCTGACACCCCTTCTTGTCAACAGAGCTAATGTTTATAGTTTCTCCTCATGGCTGAGAAATAAAATTATATGATAAAATTATTTGGGTAATAAGACTTTTTATTTACTTGAAAAGTATTGAGGGGTATGTACCCCATGTGTTAACAGTGATTTTCTCTGGAAGGCGTAAATTAGGATTTTTTTTCCCTCTGCTTTTGATTTTTTCTGATTTATATTTTCATTTCAAAGAGAAAAGTGGTTGGGTTTTTTTGTTTGTTTTTTGATTTTTGGTTTTTTTTTTTTTTTTTTTGGTGCTGGTCCTGGGGCTTTAAGTCAGAGCCTGGGGGCTATCCCTGAGCTTTTTGGCTCAAGGTTAGCTAGCACTCTACCACTTGAGCCAAAGCTCTACTTCCTGCTTTTTGGTGGTTAATTGGAGATAAGAGTCTCATGGACTTTTCTGCCTTGCTGGCTTTAACAGTGATCCTCAGGTCTCAGCCTCCTGAGTAGTTAGGATTACAGGTGTGAGCCACTGATACCTGGCTTAAAGACAAATGTTTTTGAAGAAGAAAAGACTTTGATTTTTTTTTCCCCTCTGTAGTACAGAAATAGACATTAGAATAAGAAGAGCTCTGGTTGTTGGCTTTTATAGAAGAAGAGCATAAAGACTGCTGACCCTTTAAGCCATGGCTCTCCTATTTTGTTTCAGAGGATGCCACAGATGTTGGTGAGGAGGACAGCTTCCTTGGTCAGACGTCGATGCACACGTCCACCCCACAGACATTTAGTTACTTCCCTCAGGTATCAAGCAGCAGTGATCCTTTTGGGAACATTGGACAGTCACCCTTAACAATGACAGCAACATCGCTTGGACAGTCCACATTCTCTAGGCCCCCGCCTGCTCTGCCTTTTACAACGGGGTCCCAAGACGGGGTGAATGCGTTTCCACCATCTGTTTCAAAGGCTCCATATGGTGCTCCACCTTCCTCGCAGATGGAAACCAATACTTACTTGCCTTCTCAGCCCAGCAGTCTCCCTCCTTCAAGTTTTGGGATTCCACCTCAAGGAAAACCCCAACACGGATACAACCCCTATCGCCATACCCCTGTTAGCAGCAGGGCGAATCCCTATATCACTCCCCCACAGCTGCAGCAGAGCCAAACGCCAGGCCATCCCTTCCATCCTCCACCCTCCGGACCTCCTGTGCAGACCTACCAGATGCCGCCAGGGCCTTTGCCACCGGTATGTGGACAGGCTTTATGTTCTACAAAGACATTCTAATTTTTCCTTTCTCACTTAGCTGATGTTATAGAAAGCTATGTGTTTTATAATATCTACAAGGACAAAATATTTTTCTAGCTTCTTTAATTATTTAGGGTTTTTTTTGTGTGTGGTACTAAGCATGGAACCCATGCCCTAAGGCATGGTAGGCAAGAACTCTACTACTGAGTTACCTCCCCTCCCCTTTAATTAGTTTTAGAAGTTATAGTTGGAATTTTACTTATTTTCTAAATTTTTTGTTTTGTTTTGTTTGTGGGGCCTGAACTCTGGGGTCTGGGCACTCTCCCTCAGCTCTTCAGCTCAAGGCTAGCGCTCTACCACTTGAGCCACAGTAACCCTTCCGGCTCTTTTCTTTTTGCTTTTGTGGTGCTGAGGAATCAAACCCAGGGCCTCAGGCATGCAAGGCAAGCGCTCTACCACTGAGCCACCTTCCCTAACTTTCTAAATTTTTACATGGTGCTGAGGGTCCTGTGTACTAGGTGTATTCTACCACCCAGTTATAGCCTTAACCCTCCTTTTAGTGTTTTAAATTTTGAGACAGGGACTTATAAAATTGCCATCCCAGACATAAAAGTACAAGAATCTTATTTCCATTTAACCAACAAGTAGCCATAAGTGTAGCTATGGCTGAAGTGATAGAACACAAGCTTTGAGACAGCACTCAGGTCCTGAGTTCAAGCCCCAGGACCAGAAGAAAGGAAGGAAGGAAGAGAAGGAGGGAGGGAAGGAGACAGGAGGAAGAACTGAATTAAAGAATATATGTATTGTAAATATAAAATACATTTAGAAGGGCTATTCATATCTGTAACGTTGTCTATTTACTTTGCCACCTGTGTAGAAAAGTCTAGTTCATTTTACCTGCTATAGGGTACTAAATTTTATTTAGTTACTTGCTTTGCTTTGGGGTCTAGTTATTATACTAAATAGTTGTCTAGAAATATATGTAGGATTATTATTACTAATTACAGTTTGAGTCTGAGGCTCATACCGAACTGAACCTTTTGGACGTGTTATGACATGTTGTTGTCCCCTCAGGTTCCTCCTTCAGTACAGTCACCAGCACAGCAGCAGGTGCTTGCTAGACCTGCAGGCCCCTCTATGCAGGGACCACCTCCTTTTGTACTTCAGAACCAGTATGAACCAGTTCAGCCCCACTGGTTTTACTGTAAGGAAGTGGAATACAAACAACTATGGATGCCTTTCAGTGTGTTTGACTCTTTGAATCTTGAAGAAATCTACAATTCAGGTAAGTACCTCTTGATATTTGGTTTTTGGAAGAGACGGAGTGAAGAACATTTATCCTTGGCCTGCTTTTGTGACTACCAGATTCCTTAATCTGTAGACCCTCCAGACTCAGTCCTTTAAAATGATGATACTAATATACATCCTGAATTATCTGAACAAAGTATTGGAAGAAATGGCTTATTAATGTTCCTTGTTTTTTTGTTTTTTTTTTGGTCGGTCATGGGGCTTGAACTCTGGGCCTGGGCGCTGTCCCTCAGCTCTTCAGCTCAAGG